TAAGGACAGTGCTGTGTTGGGAAGCATAGAAGCCCATTCAGCTGGGAAGGCCTCCTCCTGAGGGTCAGGAGCATCTTGGGATACATAAGTACCCTGCTCTGCAGGGCCCTTTCTGAGAGTGGACCACCTAGAGCTGTCTGATTTACATGTCAAGGTTCAGGGAACATACGTGATTTGGGGATTCATAGGAACAGGGAAAAAAGACAAATTGGTAGATACCAAGATATTATTTGGGGGCACACAAGCCATGTTAACCTTAAAACATTCCTGTCAGTATTTTCTCATGAGTAGATTCTCTTCAGAGGAGACTGTCAAGATGGCGTCAAGACCATGAGGCTCAATCTTATAACAACAGTTCTCATAGATAGATTCTATGAGCTACAGCCTCCCTTAAAGGGAGACTGTCATGGCCTACAGACCATCTGGCCCAATTTTATAACACAGAGATCCCACTACCAGACTATACAACCAAGGAGGACAAAAACAGCCAGGTCTCACATACACCGAAAATGTTGACTGCCTGGCAATACTTTATTGCAGCCAAGTACTGGAGACAAAGGAGATGCCCACTGCATGGGGTACGGCACCTGAACTCAGTATCACCATGCTGTAAGAAGTGATGACTATGAAGCCTGCAGAGAAGCATGAGCCTCCTCTGAGCTGAAGCAAAGGGGCCTGGGAACACTGTGTAATCGTTTGCCCAAGCTTGCTGTGGAAGAGACGAGGAAACCAATGCACTTCTGGCCCCTCTTCTTTGCAGGGCCTGGGGCAGGGCATGTGGGAAAATGCACTTCTTGTCCAATTCTATTCATATGGATGCAGGTCAATTTGGTCCTAAGGGATGTCTCACTAGGTAGCGGAAAGGGAGAGGAATATCTGGAAGTGAAAACTACAACACGAGTTTCTGTGGAATAAGTGTGTTACATCCAGGATGGCTCTCAAGTAAACGACTTTTCCCTCTTTAACATTTTAAAATGGTGAATGAAAAAATTCGGTCACCCCAAAGTCCACTAACCCCAATCTGTCAGGGACCAAACCTAAAATAATGAACCTATTATGCTGTAAAGACACAGCACACAGCTATTACTCAGGGTTATCTGACTGGTAGGTATGTATCTAAGGAGGCTTGTGCACACACACACACACTCTTTTAACATCAACATGCAGGTGCACCCATGTGTGTTAGATGGAGAAGGTAGGAACATGGACTGTGCTCCACACTCTTTGCAAACACCTTTGGCAGACAGGCATCTCCTTGTTTTATCCTTCCACTGATGTCCATAAGCAGAGCACTAAACAAGGCTCTCTATTTTAACACCTTCCCAAGACGCTTGTAACAATTCTGACTTATGCGTGAGACATCTTTTTGGAGGGCCTTCTACGGGGCATTTTGTTCTATAGAAACAAATTCTTTTTCACAGTTAAACAAACGAGTCCAATGGGATCTTGTATTCTGCCCCTTCTGGTCAACTGCTTTGAATATTGTTTGGGAAACCTGTCTATTCCCTCCCTTTGTCTTTATCAAGGATGCATTCGATACATGAAGAGTATTCTAAAAGACTCTGTAGGTATGAAAAAGTAGGCATATGGATTGGGAGTTAATAGTTTCTCGGTTACCTTTTTGGCTTATAATCTTTTCCAAGCACTGCTTATGACACTTCTCTTTCAGATACACTGAAAAATCAATCCCACTGTGACCCCTCCCCTTCTTCCTCCATATTTGGTCAAATTAGCTGCTCTTCCCATCTTTCTTTTCTTTAATGTTGTTTCTACTTCTCTTTATAAATAGTGGCTGCTAATGAACAACAGAACTATTTGCAGATCTTTTCCATTTTTTTTTTCTGCTGTTGTTTTCACCTCATCCTTAAATTAAATGTCTTTGGCAGAGATAGGTGGCGCAGTTGATAAGAGTGCCAGGGCTGGAGTCAGGAAGAGTTCAAATGTGGTCTCAGATACTTACCAGCTGTGTGACACTGGACAAGTCACTTAACCCTGTTATCCTCAGCTTCCTCATTTGTAAAATGAGCTGGAGAAGAAAATGGCAAACCACTCCAGGATCTTTGCCAAAAAACAACAACAAAAGAAAACAAAACAAACACAAACCCCAAATGGGGTCTGGAAGAGTTGGATGTGAGTGACTGAAATGACTGAACAACAAGCTCAACTAGGTCTTTCAACAAGCTTTCTACAGACTTGTCTTCCCCACCACTGCTTTTAGCTGAGTTACTTTATGAGGCAATAGTATCGATAATCTTCCAATGAATGTCCTCTGTAAGATTAAACAACCAAGCTCATGTTTTAAGCTTCTGTTGCCCTTGGCGGCCATCTTTCCACTTGGAGAGAAGAGTAAGTATTTACTGGCAGCTTCTACATTCTTCTGACCTTGCTTGAATTGACCTATGTAACTTCTTAGGAAATGAGTATTTTGTCAGTGTCTGTTCTTTTGTCCATTTCTTGTTTCATCATCAATATATTCTTTAAACAGGTCAATCTGGTATTGTCTCAAAAGCATACCTCACTCAAATGATTCTCTCATTTCTTCCTTGTAGTTTGACACTTAGATTTTTATTTTAGCAAATTATTAATTGAATTTCCCCACCATATCAGCCTCTCTCCCATGAAATAATGCTCCTTCTTGCCTTTGGCTTCACGAAGAAACCAATTCTACCAACTCCTACTACTTGTCTCCAAAGAGAGGCTACAAGCCATTTTTCTGATTTGCTGGAACTCCCTTCTCTCTTCTGTTTTCAATGACAGTTAACAATGTCAAGATTAATGGGTCGTGCCTCCAAACAAGGAGGTCACAATCAGAATATCAAAAGCTTAAACCACATTTATAGCAATTCTTGAGATGGACTTGAGTCTCAACAAGGGACTGAATAAGGGCACCCTGTATTTTTCTTTTGTTTCACGGATGCCCACAATCAGCAGGCTGGTGTTCCAAAAGCTCACCCACAGGCCCACACTCGACACCTTTCCAGCATGGTAGAGTGCTGCCTTCTGTTGGCATCACATGTGAGAATCCAGAATCACCCTTACATCACAATGAGAGTCCCTCCCTGGAGGGACAATAATCTTATTCCAGTGAATTTTCTCATACTTCCAAGTGATAGGTGACATAGTAGATAAAGAGTACAAAGATCACTGGCCATGACGTCAGAAGACCAGGGTTTAAATGCTTTTTTCTGCCATTTGCTTGTAACCTTGGCCTCTGAAAAATCCAGACTCAACTTAGAGGTTTGCAAAGGAAGCTTTGTGTAAACTCCACAGCACTACAGAAATGTGATCTACAACCACATCATCTCTTAATGCTTAACAAGCTGCCCATAAGCTTAATTCCCCTCTTGTGTGTCAAGCCTTTTCTCCGTCTCCTCTGTAGGACCACTATCCATACTCCACCTCCTAACTGTCGGTATGTGTACTCCAAGGCCCTCTCAGAGGGCTTCTTTCTCATGGATACTACCAGGTCTGTGAGTACAATGGCCATGTCTAGCTCAAGTCTCTACTGAGCTCCAGTTCTGCATTATCAGCTATCTGTTGGGCACCACCTGCCTAGAGATTCAATAGGCATCTCACACCATGGTCCAAAACAGGACTCCTTTTTCCTGCCAAACAAATCCCTCCTCCTGTGTTCCCAATTTCTGGCAAGGGCACTAACAACCTTCCAAGTCATCCACCCAGGTTAATAACCTTGAAGCTTTCAACTCCTCCAATCCCATTAATTAAAAAAGTTTTTTTTTTTAAATTAAAATAAAAAAGCACGCCTTCCTTTTCCAAATATATCATACCCCTCTCCTTTAACCTACCAGCTATTCCTTAAATAAAAGGGTTAAGGAGGTAGGAAGAAAAAGCCATCTGGCAAAACTCATCTAGTTGCCAAATCTTAGTCTCAACATCTCGTCTACACTCCCTACCAGACAGGCCGGCTTTCATCACCTCTCTTAGACTGCTGCTGCCTTCCATTCTCAATGAAAGACTGTTCCCTTGCTCTGATCTCTCTCCTTTCCACTCTGTTCTCTATATAGTGGAAATTCTTTTCCTAAAGTATAAATCAGCCCATATCACTCCACTACTTACTAGTACGTCTAGTCTCAAACACAGACCCCTTCAATACTTGACTCCAGCCCACCTTCTTAGGATTACTGCACATTATACAGTATTCTCCTCCTAGCCCAGCCTGCTTACTCTTCTCCATCCAGGACGCTTCCTGTGCAGCCTTCATCTTGGCAACTCTGCCCTTCCTAGCTGCCCTCTCAGAAGCCTGACTTCAGTGAAGGCCACCGCCCAGTCGCCCCATTCCCCCCCCATAATAACTTTGTATCAACATCTGTAGACATGCCGTTTCCCCTTCTTTCCAAGCCCAGCACCTTACAGAAAGCAGGCCCTTATTAATGATTACAGACTGACTGGAGACTTACCCACAGATTCGTCTTTACACACTTCCACTTTGGCCTTAACTTGTCCTAAGGCTCCTTGGGCTGTGTCTCCCCCTAGAGGTTCTTTCTCATCGAGGGACCCAGAGTCCACTGCTGTGGAGTCTGGCTCCTCAGTCTGACTGTCCAGCTCAGAAGCCTTCTCCATGGACTTGATAGGGGAGGCATCCCCAATCGGGGTGATGTCATTGCTGAGTTCTCTTTCCTCATTGTCCTTCATTTTCTTATAATGTAGACAAGGAATGCTGCTCAGGGGAGGATCATGTTTCTGGACAGACAGTAAAAGAGTGATGCTTCATGAATTCCAGCACACGATCTGCATAAGGTGAGTTCTGAAAATCTGATTTCTCTTATTGGACTCTGGTTAGCTACAAACGAAAATTTTCCAAAACATGCAATTCTAAATTTGAGCATTTATAGCTCTCACTTCAAAAACTAATGAAGGTGATTTCAGTCTTTCTAAACACAATTAAAATTAAATTTTTACATTACCAATGACCAACAAACCCCCTACCCTTATGCTTCCTGTTCCTAAGAAGTATGGTCTGGACCAGGTAACAACTCTAGATTCTCTATGCAGATAGACAGGAATTCCAGAGTTATGGAATGTCATGATCCATCCATCAGGTAATGGTTCTGTAGGCGGGCGGCCACGGCCTTTATAAAAAGACAAGAAAATCCTGGAATTACTTGAAGCTTTAGCTTTTTAAAGAAAATGTTCATTTAATTAAATCCGATAAAAAAGAACTTTAAAATTTTTGTATAGAGACAAACCACAAACCTATACCTATTGATTTTCATGAGTCTTCATATTCTGAGTGCTGTTCACAAAACGCTCACCTGACAACCCAGTGAGAAGAACTGACCCAAGTACCACTCTCTTCATTGATGGGAGTAAACCGAGGCCACACAGCTAGTGCCTAGTAAACCACTGGAACTCAAAATCTCCTCACTACAATCTCAGCATTCTTTTGCTTTCTCCTGTAGCCCCTAACCAGATGTGTCAGACTCATGGCCAGGCCTCCAGCTTCAGGCAAAACTCCAACCAGATTAAAATGTTAATCGGGAAATGTTTAACACCATTGCTCTAAACTGTGATATTTTTCATTCGAATGTTTCTTCGGTTGGCACACACCATCTCCTCACCCTCAAAGATTAGGATGAAAAGAGTTATTTTACTTTACTGATACTATTTTCCCTCATTTTACAATTTTGAAAATCACCTCAAAATTACTGATTTATAAAGACCAATTTAGGACCAAAAAAGTGTGACTTTTTTCCTACTTTCATGGACAATCAAAAATAAAGGGCTAATCAAATCCTTCATAACTGTTTTCTGCATAATAGCTTTCTGGCAGAAGAGGCTATTGGGTTAAGCACGAACCTGGTCAAGCTTTCCCTAAAACCTGCTGCTTGCAGGGGCAGGCAAGATCTGCAATTTCCTTCACGTACTCCTTAGACTCACTACCCAGATGGGATCCCTCCACACCTCCAGAGAGAGTCGGATAAGTTACTATAATCACTTGGGTCTTCAGACAACATAAAATCTGGACCCCAAATCTAAGCCTTTCCAGTTTGGTCAGACCTGATGGAATCTGAGTTCCACAAAGCATATGAACAGAAGCACAGGAAATATTTAAAACCTCCAAAGAAAGCTTCAGTTAAAGTGCCATTCTGATGATCTTTGTAACTAGAACAATAATAACTGTGGGGAGAAAAGCCTACTGCACTCAATGGAGGCTCATTATAACGCAGTCCCAAGAGAATGTGTTTCACAGAAACACAAAGCAGACCTACAGTTAGCAGCACCTGAGTTGTCATTTCTGTATGCTTACACTGAATGTAGTCACACGTGCCGAGAAGATATTGATGTGCTTTGGAAACGCGGTTAGAGGAAGCCTAGGATCTGGTGGACAAGAGAGACTTTAAGGATCACCTGCCTTACTGTGGCTAATGAGGGAAAAGAGTCTTGCTTTCAAGTACTAACCCTAACTGGTGCCAAAGGACAGGAGAAGAGCTGCTTTTAGCTAGCCCCGTACTCTCTCGATGATTCCGGGGACCATGAGAATCACTGTGTAGATCGGGCAGCTAATGTTGAGGTCACATGCTAAATTCAGAGGCAGTTCTAGAACTCTAACATCCATGAAGAGGATCCGCCTCTCACTCCAGCTGGCCTTTCATTCCACCCCCATAGCCATGAACTGACAGCCCATACAACTGCATCTTCCCCAGTTTTAACTTCCTTTCAGGGAACAAATGTGAGGAACCCTTTTTTCTGGACCCATTTTCCACCTGCGGGCTGCGATTCAGACTTTGGTAGCTACTCTCCAGACCTCATAAAAGCAATGGCCAAGAGTATTTAATAAGCCTGTTTGCTATGAGTCAGCATGCCAGTTAAAGGAAAGAGCGCATGCTTCTTCAAGGACCTTTAAGGAGCCTCCAGCAGCTCCCCAAGGGTGGACTTTATTCTCCCAGACAAGGAGCCTGGATTGCCTCAAGTCCATCTCTGCACTGTAAGACAAAATGGAAAAAAGCACAAAGCCCCATTCAAATCTTTCTTCTGCTACAACCTATTTAATGCTCTTCTTGGCCTTGGGTTTCCTCATCTGTAAAATGAGTTGGCCTAGATGGGCTTGGAGGCCCACCAACACTCAATCTTGGAGCCTGTGATCCTCCCAACCTAGCTGGAGCACCATTTTAGAAATAAAGTCTTCGTGGTCTAATGTGCCCAAACACAGTAAAAGCACACCATAAACATGACCCTATTAATAGGCCCAGTCACAGCTGGTTGTGTCCTCTACTACCTTCAGAAGAGGGATTTTAAACTTAAGAAGGAGCTTACTTTTCAGAACAGTCTTTATTTTGGTCATCATTGGCTGCACAGTTGTTTCTGCATCAGACAGGTGATCACTCTCCCCTCCATATTTCTCTTCGATCTTCCTCTTTTTGGGGGCACAAAGACCCTCTTCTAGAAGCGCATCCACATCATTGTCAAAATCATCCTGCAAAATACTCTATCCATCAGACATTCTATCCGAGGGCTACCATCTCCTCAAGAACAGATACTATTGACTATTCCATTGGCAAATGTAATATCACTCTTAAAAGATCATAGCAAAGTAAGAGAAAGATACATGGCAGCTTTCAAATGTGGTCACTGGATCTCCATTTAATGATTCAAGATCATCTGAAAGACAAATTCAATGAAATCTCTCACTACACACTCAAGCCACAAATCAGTCAAACACACCACAGATGCACAGTCCACAGCAGCACCTTCCGAAAGGGTTATTTGTTTAAACTGGCCCAAAAAAGGAAAAATTATCAGTGACAACTTTTTCTAAGAGTTTTGATAAAACTTTAATCCTTCCTCTAATTTCCTCTTTACCTAAATAAAAAAAATCCCATTACGCAGAGTAGGGAAAATTGGATTTCCTCTGCAATGTTGGCTTCTAAAAGGTAAATGCAACCCCTGAATGATTTTTTTCAGATTTCTCTAATAGCCAGAAAGGTAATTAGACATACCTCATAGGAGAAATTCAAGGTGTCTTCATCCACTTTATCTCGTTGAGAAATTGCTTTAGCTGTGAACCCTCCTGTTTCTTCCTCTATTTCCATATTGTCAGTAAAATCTTCTAACTCATCCAGCACTGCATACTCCACTCTCTTTTCCTGATCAATCTCATTTTCCTCATCCCTCTTGTCTACACTTTCACCCACTACTCCTACTATGTTCCCATGACTACCATCAAAAGGACACACATGAAAATCTCCTTTGACATCATTTATACTAAAAGCTGCCTCAGCTTTATCATCTGGCTCCGCCCCAGTATAGAGAACCTTTCTGTCTTTGCTTTTACAGCTTTCTGTAAAGCTTACGCTAATCTTGACATCTTTAAGCAACCTAAGATCTGGGATGAATTTTCGGACTAAAGGGGCGTGGCGAGCTGTTCTCGGGCTTAGGTCGCAGTTGTCTGGGTCTATGCAGAGGCGGCTTTTGTAGGGAGCAGATCCTTTGGTGAGAAGCTGGGGTCCGAAGTGGGCGTACATGTCCCCAGCAGGGGTATCTGACTGTCCAGCACCACCAGAGCCAACGTCCATTACGTCTGCGTCACTGGACGTTTGCAGGGGAGGTGGTGGAGGCTCTTCGCTAGGAGGCAGTGGCGGGAGATAAAGGTGGTTTTCCACAATCAATTCTCTTGTCAACTCTTGCTGGAGAGGAGCTATGCTTTCCAATGTCTCCATATTTTAAATACTCTTAAAATAACCACTTTAAAAGAACAAAAACTTCAAGTTATATCAATCTACTCTCCTAACATGCAAAAATCCATCAAGTTAGTCAATAGGCAACACTGATGACTTAGCTAAGCTGACTACATTGTTCTTTTCATTAATGTAGACAGCTTTTAGAATCACTGTCTCAATTATTGGAAATCACAATGCATTCAGCTTAAACAGCTGAAGACTTAGGTGGAGGGAGCAGCTCTTCAGTCCTTGCCTTTTCTTCTTTCAACCTGCAAAGAAATTGTTAAAAAATGTCACCAATTGGCTGAAATATTTAACAAAAGGAACGCCACACAGCCAATAATTACAACAGGTACAGCACGTGCTGTCTGATGATGACAACGATTTGTATTTTAACCTCTTCCCTCTCCGAGCCCCATTCACAGCTTCTAACACTCTTCTAGGCACATGGACACACTCACAGCACTCGGTATAAGTTCAGTTTGGCATTTTTAGAAAGTCCTCCCTCTTCTTTCTCCAGAACACAGATTACAGCCAAAGTCCAAAGTTACAATTACTTTGTTTCTTACTCACAAGTCACAGAATTGATTTACAGTAGGGTGGATTTAGGATGCCTTAGAATACTTTAGAGAAGGAAAGAGAAAACAAATCATTAAAATGCTCCCAGAGCTTAATGCAGAACATAATAGCAGAACAGTTACAAGTCATACTTCACACAAGTCATACTTTACATTTCCCTGGGATAAAACACTACAAAATAATTTTTTTGGGGGGGAAATTCATTCTTTCTAGGTTAAGACAGATTTGGGGTTCATATTACTGACAAGCCAAGACTTTGATTTAAGTACACACACTGACAGGCCTATTAACTCTTCCCCAGTTCAGCAGGACAGCAGTTACTAAATGAGCAGTTATCATTTCATTCATGACTATATTTGCCCAATTGCTGTCTTAAACTATAACTCAACTGATCATGTGAGTATGATTTGTCTCCCTGGCTAGACCTCAAGCTTCCTGAGGGCAGGGGACACATTCACCAAGCTGTTCTGAATACAGACTACGCTCTCAAAACAAGCTCTCTCTCCTACACACACAAACATAAATACTCATATAGAAAAATGGCTGTAAACCCACACCAAACTTAGGTTTTACACAAGCCAGAGTCTAGACTTGCATTCAGACCATTACAAAAGCCTTCATACTGCCCACCAATGCCTAGCAAGGAGGGGGGGTCGTAGCAGCCATTAAATAAATGTGTTCAACCTAACAGAACTGTGAGAGCATTTGAGAGTTATTAAGAAGTACTTGCATAAAAAGTTACGAACAGGAATACAGAATGAAGTTGTTGGCTTCCCCGACTTAAGAGGGAACTCCTCAAGAGCAGGTAGCATACCTTCTGTATTTCTCCACTATGTGTATCGCTGTATCCAACAAAATCATGCAGCAGTCAAACAAAGATGTGCTACTGCCCCATCTGGTAGGTACTTTCCTCTAGAGAGCCAACCAGAGGCTAAATGTTGCTGCCCCAAACCCATTCTCTCATTCAGCTTCCGGTGAACTTGGCACACAATCTATGACCACAACATTTCAAGTGCCTACGATGTGTCAGGCACTGGGGATACAAAAAGGCCTCTGCCCTCAAGGAGCTCACATGGGGGGGGGATGGGACGGGAATACAGGATATGTACAAAGTACATGCAAAGTAACGGGGGGGGGGGGGGATCCTATAGAACATGGCACTTCAGTGTCATCCGAGTTTTCAAAGAAGCCAGAGGTTCTAAGAGAAGAGGTTGAGGAGGTAGCCCATTCCAGGCCCAGAACATCATGTCTGAGGAACAGCAAGGTGGGCTGGACCTTTGTGCACGTAGGGAAGTGATAAGCCTGGAAAGGTGGGCTCTAACTAGCCTGTGAAGGGCTGCGAATGCCAAGCAGGATTTACTTTTTATTCTGAAGGCCAGGGGAAGTTACAGGCAGAGTGACATCGACTGGTACTTTAGGAAAAACCCTTTGGCAGTGGGTGTCAAGGGAGGAGAGGAGAGGAAAGGATAGACTTGAGTCAGGAGGGAGGGAAGACGAAGGCATGAACTAAGGTGCTGGGAGGTAGAATCGATAAGAATTGGCTACTGATTGGATAGATGGGGAAAAAGAAAAAGTGGAGTTCAGAATGACCCCGATCTTAGAATGAATTCACTGACTGAGCACCAAGTCCTACCCTGGGGACTGGGGACACAAGCAGAAAAGACAGTCCCTGCTCTCAAGGGGCTGACTAATTTAAGAAGGCCACAGACTTCAGCTGCAAGTTAGAGGGAAAGGCCTCGAAATCCTGAGGGAGCATCTCCACCGAGAAAGCTGTATCCACTCCTGGTAGTCACTCTGTTCCTATGCTGGGTCCAAGAACCTTCTCTCCCAGCTCAATCGTCAGTCCTGCTGGCACCTTCCAAGCGGCATCTCCATGGGGGTTGCTGCTTCCTGGGGGGGTAGCTTGAAGGGCTAGCCTGGTATTCCTAGGCTCCTAGGCTATCTCCAGTGGGGTGTCCACAGAAATAAGGAAGTTCAGAAGAGAAGTGAGTTTGGGCAAATGAGTTTTGTTTTACAGATGGTAAATATGAGATGCCTTTAGTCATCTGGAGGGAAATGTCTAATAGGCACATGGCAACTTGAGGCTGGATCTCAGAAGGCCCAGGGGTAGATCTACAAATCTGGGGCCAAGGTAAACAGATACATGAATCCATGGAAGCTGATGAGATCACCAAGTCAGAAAAGGGCTAGGAGAGACCTCTGGGGGATATTCACACTCTGGGGATTCGACGAGGATAAAGATGGAACGATCAGACAGGAGCAGTCTCATGAAAACCCAGCAATATCCAGAAAGAATGGGTGCTCAAGAGAAAAAGGATGCAGATGAAAAACAAAAACCATCAGATTCTAGCACTAAATCCATGATCTTCTGCAGTGGCTGTTAAGACACCACAAGTAACTTTGGAAAAAGCAGTTTCACGTGATTGATCAGATGGTAAGCCACACTGCCAAGAGCTGAAGGAGAGGACAGTGAGTGGAAGAAAGGCTAGGAGTTTGGATAAGACAAGGGATATAAGAGGAGATGGCACAGTCAAGGAAGCCTGGGGAACCTGCAGCCTCATTGCCCCCATATCTAATGAGTCAGGACAAACCATGGCATGAAAGTGACTCTGGGTTCTTGAAGACTATCCCAGCCAACAGAAACCAGCAGGTCCTACCAACCTGGAGAGGCTTCAATTGTGATCAGAAAGAGACTGGGACAAAGTTAACTAATTGAGAGTACTGCCTTATGACAAACTTCACATCCTTACATTTAACAAAAATTTAATATAACCTCGTTTTGCTGTGATCTGCAATCTGTGGTGATTCTACATATATCTACCTATAATCTGATGATTCTCAGATCTGCTTATTCAGTCCTAACCTCCAGACTTTCACCTCCAAATGCCTAATGAAAGTCTCAAGGTAGAGATCCTAAAAACATCTTAAATCTCAACTTAAAACTCCTTGAAAAGGCCACCTCCATCAGATGTCTCCACTTCCTTTCCTTTCTTCTCTAGCATCTGGACTCTAGCTTCATTCACCTGATGATGCTCTCTCCAAAAGTTCTTCTATGGTTCACTGGCAATCACCCACTCCTTGATACCCTCTCCTCTTTGAGGCTTCCATGACACACACTCTCCTGGTTCTCCTCCCACCTACCTGCCTACTCTTCCCAAGTCTCCCTTGCTGGACCTTCACCCAGGTCTCCCCCTTAACACTGTGGGTGTCTGTCCTAGGTCCTGTTCTCTTCCCTCTCTAGATTATTATTTGGTGATGTCATCAACTTCCATGGACTTAATTATCTTGATGCTGGTGATTCGCAAACTAATCTCCCTCCTAACCTCCTGACTCCTATCTCCAACTGCCTACTGGCCATTTCAAAGAGATGTCTGTCAAATCCCAAACTGGACTCATTTATCTTTCCTCCCACACCCTCCCCTCTTCTTAACTTCTCAGTACTCCTCAGGATAATGCTTGCCAACATCCTCCCCATGACCTATGCTTGTAATCTAGAGATTAGGCATCATCCTGGAATCCTCACGCTCTCATCCCTAACCTATGATCTATTGCCAACACCTGTTGATCTCACCTTCCCTTCCCAACACGTCCTGAATATGCCCCCTTCCCTCCTCTGACACTGCCCCTCATCATCTCATGCCTAGACTATTGCAACAGCTACTGGTGGGTCTGCCTGCCACAAGGCTCTCAACTGTCAAATTAATCTCCAGCAGCTCCCTAACACCTCCAGGATCTCCCTCTCTGGTATTCAAAGTGGCCCTCTCCCACCTTTCCAGTCTTCTGACAGTGACCCTGGCCTCCTGGCTGTGCCTGCCATAATAAGCTCGCCCATCTTCAGACTCTGGCCGTCCTGCGTGTCCCAACCAGAATCTCACCTTCTATGAGAAGCCTCTCTCAGTTTCCTCTAATACCAGGGCCTTCCCTCTGTGGGTTTTCTCCAACTGATCCTGTCTGGAGTTTGTGTCCATGCTTCTTTGCATGTTGCCTCCTCCACTGGACTGGGAGTTCCTGGCATATCTGCTGCCTTTCTTGGTATCATATCCCCCGTGCTGAGCAGTTTCTCAAACACAGCAGGCACTTGAGCCAAAGTATGTTTTTTTCTAAGTGTTGCCTATATGCGCGAAATGGGATTTAAATTGCGCGAGATTCTAGGCCAATGAAACACATTCGCCTCTATCTCCTAGATAAATTTAAGTAGGCAGTTAGGTGGCACAGGATATAGCAAGGGGCCTTGAGTCAGGAAGACTCAAGTTCAAATTCTGTCATACTACCTACGTGACCCAGGGCAAGTCCCTTAACCTGTCTGCTTCAGTCTCCTTTTCTGTAAAATGGGGATCATAACAGTACCTGAGGATCAAATGAAATAACATTTGTACCAAGTGCTGAGCACGGTTCCCAGAACACAGTAAGTGCTAAATATAAATGTAATGCATGGCTTGGTTCAAGGTCATGTTGAAATTATTCCATCTTCACTTCATAATATCCTGGATACATCCTGTTTCTCAGGAAGTACAGTGCTATATGTATGTAAGAACATCATTTCTTCCACGGGGACAAGCTCTCTAGGCTTTGTGGGAGCAAGAAGTCAGTGGACATAATACAATCTGATCTTACAGTCTCACCTGGACTTCTTTTGACAAGGGTTTTTGGTACAACCCTGAATGAAAGAGTGACTTTTATACAGTGGGAAAAAAATCACTCTTTTTCCAGTTACTGGTCAACATTACCTTTATAGTCATCGGTATTCCAGTTTTTGTATTGTCTTTCCTAAGACAAACATTTCTTCCCTTGGTTAGCGGTTATTTATATTTGTCTTAACATTCTTCCAACTTCAAGAAACCTATGCCACAGCCACACTGCAGAGGCTTCAATACATACAGCCCAGTCCCTAGAAAGGTCCTTGGCTTGTTTTCTGAGAATTAGGTTGTTTTACAACAATGTCAGCTTTTAGCACTGTTTTTTTGTTTTCAACTGGTGAATGATTGTTGAAATGCTCTCCTTTCCCACACCAACAGCTGCTGCAATATCTCTTACAGTCATAGAAGTGTGCTCTTTAAGAGCTGTAACAGTGGCATGTTTCCACAGTAACAGCCTTTCTTAAAAACCACAGAATTAAAAACACAAGAGAGGAATGAAAAACATGTGTATGGCATGAAATACAGCACTCAATTGACAGAAAACTCAGAGTGGAAAACCAGCTCAATCCCATTTCATCTGATCAAGACCAGCCTTTCTGAATCAGCTTAGTATCGGGAGAAGCAATGGTAAGCTCACTGCTGACACAAAATGAAGCCATCAACATTATTGCCTTGTACCAAGTAATTCACAACCCACCCTAAGTATGTGTGGGGGAGGCTTATCGCCAGGTCAGCTAACAGGCCGGAAATGATTGCTTTTTTCCTCATGGGCAACTCAAAAAGACTATTTCAGGGGCTGCAATTCTGTATTAGCACACAGATCTTTTCCAAGTAAGATCTGAATCAAACAAAAGTTCTGAACTATCTGAATCTCCAAACCTGGGCCAAAGGACAAATCTGTGAAAATTATACCTCATTAGCACCAAAGTGAGATTTCCATACCCCCACTGAGTAATTTGAAATTTGTTATTCTAAATGAGAAATGCCCTTCCAAAGATTTTCCATAGATGAACAACTCAGACCTCCCTCTCTTATAGCCTTTCCCATTCTCTTCAACAACCACACATCATCTTCTCTAAGCCTAGCAATACAAACTATACAAACTGCTAGACTCAATAATTTAGCAAACACGTAACCTTTACAAACCCATGGTTTTATACTGGCTTTTTTCCATCACTATATATGTAAGGAAAACTAGCTTATACATATCCATTACGATCCAATACAGGGAGGCATCTATATGGAAATGGCCAAACGGGTCCTTGGTTCATTCAACCATGCAGGGCCAATCCAAACCAAGCAGCAGGTTAATACAAATGCCAAAAGGCACAAACATCAAACCTATGTGAAGGTACTCTACCCAGGAGGCTCTGAGAACCTACTCTGATGACTTTAAAATTGTTTTACTACGGTCTCACTGGGGTAAAAGGTCTTTTTATTCTGCTTAGTCTACGTCAGAACCAACGATCCTAATTCTTTTGAAAGGTCCTAAATGGTCTCTTCGGTAGGCCTTCCCCAATGTAGACTTTCAGTTTTCATCAAAGGAGCTCAGGGGAAAAAAAAGGCTTTTTTCCTTTGTAGAAGTTGGAATCACAAAAGATTTGGTGCTAAAACCCTGATCCCTCACCTCATGTGCTTAAAGCAGAACTAAAACTGGACAATTCATTGAACAAACCCAATGTTATCAATTAGCCCTGGCACTGCAATTTTAGATAGAGCCCTTAAAACACAGCATGTAAAAAGAATACTGGCTTAAACAACCGGGAGGCCGGGACTCTAGTCCCAGATCTCTTCTGCCCTTTGTAGCTACAATCCTCTAAAAGGCTGTCTACAATAGGTACCTCCACTTTCTCTCCTCTTGCTCCCTTAACCTCCTACAATCCAGCTTCTAAACGTTACCATTCCACTGAAGTTGCTCTCTCCAAAGTTACTAATGGTCTCTTAGTTGCCAAACCAACAGCCTCTTCTCCATCCTCATTCTCCTTGACCTCTCTGCAGCCTGTGACCCTGTTGACCACTCCCTGATACTCTCTTCTCTTTAGGTTTCTGGGACACCCTTCTCTCCTGGTTCTTTTCCTATCTGAACACAGCTTCTGTCTCTTTTACTAGATCCTTGTCCAGACTGCACCTTGTAAGCATAAGAATCCCCCAGGGTTCTGTCCTGGACCTTCTTTTTTTCTATTTCAGTGGGTGACCTCATCAACCCCCATGGATTTAAATATCATCTCCATGCTGATGATTCTCAAATATACTCATCCTGCTCCAACATCTCTGCTGACCTCCAATCTCACATCTCCAACTGTCGAAGACATCACCATCTTTCCACTCCCTCAGGCTCCCAAATCCAGGAGTCATCCTGAATTCCTCACTATCTCTTACTCCCATATCCAATATCGTGTCAAGACCTGTCCATTTCACCTTTGTAACATCTCCCCTAATATGCCCCCCTTCTCCTCTGACACTGCCCCCACCCTGGTACACACCATCACCTCACTCCTTGGACTATGCAGTAGCTACTGATGAGTCTTCCTGCCTCAAGTTCTTCCCTACTCCAGTCCATCCTCCATTCAGCCACTTAAGTGATTTTCCTAAAGCTCAGGACTGACAGTATCACTCTCTACTCAATCAACTCCCAATGTCCCCCTATTGCCTCCAGGAGCCATTCAAAGCCGTTTTATCACCTGCCCCCTCTGTTGTTCCAATCTTCTTACACCTTACTCCTCACCCTGTGGTCTTTGATCCTGTGACACAGGCCTCCTGGCTGTCCCAAACAAGACCTTCCATCTCTCAGCTCTGGGCATTCTCTCTGGCTGTCCCTCACTCTTGGAACACTGACCTCTCTGATTTCCTTTAAGTGCCAACTAACATCTCACTTTCTACAGGAAGCCTTCCCCAACCCATCCCAATTCCAGCGCTTTCCCTCCATTTATTTCCAGTATGTGGCTCGTTTATACATATCTGTTTTCTTGTTGTGTGTCCCATTAGATTTCAAGATCCTTGAGGGCAGGGACTAATGCCTCTTTCTGTATCCCCAGTGCTTAGCAAGAGGATGGTACGTAGCAGGCACCAAAGTGCTTACTGATTGATTGATAATCCATGCTCTACACTTACTAGCTATATAACCATGGGCGAGTCTGATTCCTTTCACATGAACCTCAAGTTTTCTCCTCTTAAAACATGGGAGTTGACAGGTGTGCAACATATTTCACAGGGCTGTTATGTGGAAAGTGTTAAAATATCTCTTTTTGCTACCCAGTCCACCATTTTATAGATGAGGACACTGAGGCCTGAGGAGGGTCCCTGCTCACTCCACTGCCAAGCAGAATAATGATGGCAGAATTAAGGCACCCAGACTCCCAGGACAGGGCTTTAGCATTTGGCCCCGGGTCTTAGGCAATATGGAAGGAGAGCAAAATAAAGAAGATGACAGAGGGTTCCGAAGCGGCCATGCAATTTAAAATACTGCCCCAGATGTTGTCAGTCAGCCAATAAGCATGGATTCAGCAACTATTCTGTGCCAGGCACTAAGCAAAGAGTTGGGGATACAAATTTTAGGAAGGCCAAAGACAGTTTCAGACGGGGAGGAGCTGGCTCACAATCTAATGGGGGAGACCACTTGAAAGGAACTAGGTGCAAACAAAAAATATGCGAGGATAAATTGGAGATAATCAACAGGGGGAACTCACTAGCATTAAGCAAGAGCTTCCATCAGAAAGTGGGATGGTAGCTGGGACCTGAAGCAAGCCAGGAGGTGGAGATAAAATCACTTAAATCTCTAGGAAGGAAGGGCCTGAGGCCCCTTCCTCCTCTAAAGCTGTATCTGATGATTCCAGAAGGGCAGAAGGGTACCACAGATTACTTAGTCCTACTCATTTTCACAGATGGAGAAAGTTTGATCCAGAGGGAACTTCCTCATCTGAAAAATGAGGGCATAGGACTAGCGTCTCTTCCAGCTCAAAACCCTGGCATGGGGTGAAGTCACCGAGCTAATCAATGTCAGAGGTCTCCCCGCTTCTTCGCTTTGGTGTCATGGAACCTTCGGCTGCCGGCGGAGCCCCGGACCTCTTCTCGGGATCAGAGTTACAACTTCCTAAGGGAAGGACACGCTGGATTTCAGGGAGAGCCAGTGAAGACAAAGATGCCAGTGCCGCTCTCTTCCCGGCTCCAGGACCCCCGGATCCCGGGCCCAGGCAGCTGCGCTCCTGACGACCCCCCCTGCCCCGCTCAATCCGAGGCCCCGCCGGCCCACTCAGGGCCAGGATCACTCGGAGACCAGGCGAGAAACTGGGCTGGAGAAATTAATTTAAATTCAAATCAATTCAACGGACAGTTATTAAGTACCTCCTGGCAAAGAAAAGGAAGGGAGGAGGGGAGGAAGAGGAATGCGGGAGGGAGGGGGACAGGGAGGGAGGGCAATGGGAGCGGGGCAGAGAGGGGAGGGGGCACGGGGGGGAGGGGTAACGGAGGCAGGGCGGAGAGAGGAGGGGGACACTCTGGGGGGAGGGGGCGCCCTGCGGGGAGGGGGGTGATGGGGGCGGGGCACAGAGGGGAAGGGACACCCCGGGGGGAGGGATTGATGGGGGCGGGGCGGAAGAGGGCGCCGGGGGGAAGTTGGGGGGCCCACAAAGGGAGCCCTAGGCGGGTCGGAGCCCCCCCCCCAGCGGAGCCACCATTCATTGACCCCGGGCTCCCGCAGTGGGGGAGGGGCGCGGGCCCCGGGGCGCGGCCGCCCCTCCCCTCCCCCTCCGGGGCGCGCGGCCGCCCCTCCCCCTCCCCGGCTCCCCTCGCGCTCGCGCTCCCGCCCCTCCCCGCCCCGGCCTCGGGCTCCGCTGCCGCCGCTCCCGCCGCTCCCGCCGCTCCGGCCGCCCACCTGAGCATAAGCCGCTCCGCTCCCGCTGACGCCGCTGCCTCGCTCCTTCTGCTCGCCGGCCCGTCCGTCCGCCGTTCCGTCCGTCCGTCCGTCCGTCCGTCCGCCAGTCCGTCCGTCAGGGAACGCGGGGCACGAGCGCTGCCGCCGCCATCTTTAAACCGCCAGCCAGGCTAAGGCGGAGCGCGCTCGAGCCTCCGGAGAGACGCACCGGGCCCCCAGGGCCGAGCCCGCCAATCGCAAGCCGCCGTCGCGCGCCGCCGCCTCTCATTGGTCCCTTCGGAGACGTGGCAGACCACGTAGCCAATGGGACTGTGGGGGAGCCGGGCGCGGGTTTGCTGCAGAAGGGGCGGGGCCGGTGCTGGAGGGAGGGGGGCTGGTGAACCGTTGGGCGGGAGGAGGAGGAGTTAAGGAGAAGAGGAGAAAGGGAGGGGGAGGGAGGAGGACGCGTGGAGCAGGAGGGGGATGGGCCGAAAACATGGGAGAAAGGGAGGAAAAAAAGGGAAGAGAAGGAAGGAAGAAAAGGGAGAAAAGTGATAAAGAAGGGAAAGGCCGAGAATAGAAGGAAGGTGAAGAAGAAGGGAGGAGAGGGAAGGAAGGAAGAACAGTGGCTTTGGAGTCAAGAGGACCTGAGTTCAAATCTTGCCTCTAATACTTTCTGGGTGACCCTAGATAAGTCACTTGACCGCTCTGGGCCTCAGTTCCCTCTTCTGTAAAGTGAGGGGATTAGACTAGAGGATCTCTTCCATCTCAAAGTCAGTGACTGGGGGCTCATGCCTCTCGTACCCTGGACAAGTCATTTAACTTGTCAGTCTCAATTGCCTAAACTGTAAAATGGGGATAATAGCACCAACTTTGTAGGGTTGTTGTGAGGATCATATTTGTAAACTCTTAGCATAGTACCTGGCATAGAGTAGGTTCTTAAGTGATTATTCCTTCCCCTTCTCTGCCATCCCACCTACATGGAGGCTGGACATTGAGCTCAGGAGTTTTGAGCTGCAGTGCACTGAGTCAATTGGTTGTGCCCCCAAGACCAGCATCAGAAGGGTGGCCCCGGAGGTGGGCGGGCCCCC